ATAATCCTTAATCAATTCTCCCATGCGCTTAAGAAGGTAATGATTATAAAAAAAAGTGTAGTAGATAGGACGCTTCTTCAATGTAATGATGAGGTTTGTACCATGCTCTCATTCGACCACATGGCCCGTCTTAAATAACCTTTGCTTGACAACTTCATGAATCTTTAATTGGGTTCAAATCAAAAGAAAGGGTGCTGAGACTGGTAGATATCCATACGCAAATTGACATTCCTAGATCCAAATCCTCTTATTCACGAATGTTCAGTCATGGGCTTCTTAACTCTGATATGGTGCCTTCAATAATGACCCTGTGGGAATGAATATTATCTCCACTCGAAATTACTGCGTCTACACAAGTTGGTTAGTCGCAAAGGACATAAATATTAAATTAAAGCCAAGTAATAGCACAAAACGAAATGGGATCTTAAGGTTAAAAATTAGGGTGTGACAGCAGTCATGCATTTCTTCAGCAGAAGACTCTTTGTCTTCCCACAACAAAGATTTTTGTCTTCTCCATAGAGTCCTGTTATCAGATCAGAAGAGATTTTCACCAACAACGGTGCACACTTACCCCCAACAGGTTAAAGTGGAAGGGTATTTTCTCAGCAACAGGTTATTTATTAATTTGTCGGTTGATTCTACTTCTTGTATACCCTGTTTATGCCAACTTTTGGTTGGTATCTTTTTGTGAGCCTTTATCCCAACTTTTGGTTGGTAGTCTTCATTTTTGTGTGTTCGCCTTCGATTGGCGTTCTGGCGATCCTAACTTTTGGTTAGTAGCCTTTGTCCCAACTTTTGGTTGGTATCTCTTGTTCATCATCCCAACTGTTGGTTGATAGTCTTCATTGTGTGTTCTCCTTCGGTCGGTGTTTTAGAGATCCTAACTTTTGGTTAGTAGCCTTTATCCCAACTTTTGGTTGGTATCTCTAGTCTTCATTGTGTGTTTGCCTTCGGTCGGCGTTCCGACGATCCTAACTTTTGGTCAGTAGCCTTTATCCCAACTTTTGATTGGTATCTCTTGTTGATCATCCCAAATTTTGGTTGGCAGTCTTCATTTTTATGTGTTCGCCTTCGGTCGGTGTTCTGGTGATTCTAACTTTTGGTTAGTAGTCTTTTATCCCAACTTTTGGTTGGTTTCTCTCTAGTGATTCTAACTTTTGGTTAGTAGCCTTCATTCTAACTTTTGGTTGCTATCTTATGTATGTCGGCTATCCCAAATTTTGGTTGGTACCCGCTACCTTTAAGTCCACCTTCGGCTGGCAATCACTTTACTCTATACAACCCCACAAGTTGCAAATTTATGGGTTCCTTTGGTATTCAACCTCCTTGTACTTCGAACGTCTGAAATTTGTTGCTATAATCCCTTCAGGTCCAAGTTGTTTGAATAGGGGCAGTTGTAACACCCCAAAATTTGCCTAATCTTTTCTTAATCTCTTGGCTTATGTTTCATATCATTTGCATCATCATTTGTGTATAACATTGGCTCTAAGCATATGATCAAGGTATCTTGGTTGGTTCTCAAGAGGAGGAGTATGATCCTTAAAGCTAAAGTAAGAGGTTGTTCTCAATCTTGTGGTATTCTTAAGCCCCAAGGTCCTTTCATCATCAAGGCATATCACACAATCATATGAATCAAGATTACAAGCATTGGGCACATCATCCTATCTTTGAGATAACTGGATTAGGGTTTTGGTCAAAGGGCATCTATGTCTAGCTTCTTGGGCAAGGAATTACTATATGGCTCAACACACATCCCAAGGGTTCCCTACATGTATTATGTCTCATCACAAGTCATGGCATGAGCTTCAATCAGTGGAAAGAGTACTAGAGTTTCATCTAATCAAGAAAAGCCAAATGTGGCTCCATAAGGTCAAAGTCTTAGTTTTCAAGGTCAATCAAGGGCATGATATGTCTTCTCAAGTGTTTTCATGTGTTTGGAACAAGAAGAATCAAAGATAAGCATAAAATCATGAGATTGGTTGAATTAGGGTTTTGTTGAATTTTTCTAAGTGTGGAAAACCATAATTTCTAGCCATCTTGCATCAATCATAACTTTCTCACCCTTGAGGACATGATTTGTGTACTCTAAAGCTCCAAATTTAAAAGCCAAGGATGGAGTCAAGCTGCAAGTTTTAGTGTGACTCTTTAATTTATTTCAATTGTGAGTTTGATTCGAAAGGTTCAATAACCAAGACAAGGTTTTGTTCAAGTTAGGTTGAAATGCTATTTTCTAAAGCCTAAGATTATTGTTTATTCTTTAAGAAGGTTTATACAAGGAAGTGCAACATTGGATCAAATCCCAAATCTTATTCAACATCCATTTTGTTATTCTCATCCTAAGCTTTTCAATCTCAAATTTCTAATTTTTAAATTCGAGTTTTAAGTTTTGTATATTCTAACCCATCCAAGTTCAATTTTAATTAGATGTGTTCATTCAAGTTCGTGTCGGGTCATGATCTCCTTTCAAGTTTTTTAATTCACAAATTTCCATTCAATTTTCATTTCAATTCATCCAAGTTTAAATTTCAAGTTCATTTCATTTTAACTGCCATATTCCCATCCACATCTAATGTTTTCATGTCAAAAACTAATTTCATTTCAAATCCATATCAAAACTAGTTTTTCTCAATACAAAGCTTCAGTCAATTACAAAAGTGTGGAAATTCAAGTTACAAATCATAAAAAATCCTAAGTCTAAGCACAAGAAAAAGCTCTTTCTATGAGGCACCACTCCTTTCCTCAATGTGTGTGGCTTCGGGCCACTCATGGTCTTCAATGGCATTCCTCATTCTAATCCATTGACAATGTTTTTCTGTTCTCAATAATACATCAATGCATCATTGATAATCACTTCCTGAGAATCCTATCCGACTTCTGCCACTGCAAAATTTGAATAAAAGAGTCAGTATAGATAAAAAGGAATCAGATTCTTATTGCTACCTTTTATCACACATTCTAGCAAATGGCAAACAACAAGACATGCCACCATGTTAAAGTTAAATTACATCAAGGCTTGTGTCAATTTCAATCATCATCGATTCATTCAAATTCAACACATTCACTCAGCTTCATCATAACAGTAGGCAATCAGATTCATTCATCATGTTCAAGCCGAAATTCAAGAAAATTCAGTCAATTCATTTTTAATTAAGAAAAGCCATTAAATTTCAAAACAGGGCATACATTATAATTCATAGAAAAAACAATAGAACAATACAACAAGTGGGACCATTGAGACTCTTCACTACAGACAAATTTTAGGGGGGGGGGAGGACAAATTCAGAATCCGTACCTACACGTCTCTCCATTAAAAACGGTGTCTCACCGCTGATTTGGTGAGTACATACACTCACCAATGGATTCCTCAGGACTATACAATTCCAAACCCTAATTGAGGACTATATAAACACAATTCATCATCAGATGGAGAGAAGAGAAAAAAAAACCTAAATCACACTAAACTTCAACAAAAAACCAAAATCTCACCCCAACAAATAATACAACAAAAGCATGAGTAAGAGAAGAAGAGAAGTTTTGGGTTAGAAGAAAAGAAGAGAGAAAATGTTGAGCTTGCCTGAGAGTCGTCTTCCAAAATATTGCTCGAGAAAAGCTCTTCAAGTGGTATCATCTCTTATACTCAGATTTGCCTTCGCTTTGGTTTGTTGTTGTTGATGATTTCACGCTTATTTTTGTGTGGTGCCTCCACGTGTGACTTTGCCTTGCTTATTTTCTTTGATTTCTGTTGAGTTTAGAAATTAGGGCTTGTTTGGGAACGAGTTTGATTTGGGGTTTTTTAGTGGTTTTTAGGTTGATATGAGGTTAGATTTGGAGAGAGGGCGAAATTTGAGGTGGGATTTGTATAGAGTGTTTAGGTTTTGGTGGTGGTCTCGCCGGAGAAGACGGCGGCGTCCGCCGTTGACCACCATCTTCTCCGCCCAATTTAAGGGTTACAGTTTGCTTTTGTTGCAGAGTGTAACATTGAGAGAGAAATATAGGTGAGAGAGAAATGTTTTGTGGAAATGATTCATGTAGCCTAACATTCTTTGTGTTTTATTGAGTTTCGTTCCCAGATTTCATCACCGGTGACATGTGTCACCAGTCTGTAGAATCACCAAGATCTCATGTGCATGCGTCCCCTAGTTCCTTGCGTGCACCCTTAGTTTCAGCCTTTGGATGGGAGTCAACTGTGGACTCTATTTGATCCAACGACCCATATCTGCCTTAAAGCCAACACGGGTTGACTAGGGTTCTTCGTGAACCCCTGGGCCTATCAGATTTCCTTTTCGTTTGGGCCTTAGGTTGCTTTATTTTTCGCACCACCCCTTGTGGCCCAGCAGTGCATTTTGAACTAAACTCAGTTCATTACTCAATTGCTTATACACCTCTCCTTCCTTTTTATTTCTCTTTTATTTCATTTTCTTCCATTTTCAATTTCATTTTCTTCTTAATTATTACCTCTATTTAAAAAAAAAATACCAAAATGCTTGTTTTTGATTGTTTAACATGTCAACTAGTTTTGAACATGGCTCTAATTCTTGATCTTTTCAATTGACTTTTGATCCATGTTTTACACACGCTTAGACACATATATGTAGAATTTTTAAGTGTCCATTCAATTAAAAAAAATTATGTTTAAAATAAATTTAAAATTTTCTCTATTCTTATTGGTTGTTTCTATGAATAAGAATTTAAGTTCATTTTCATATCAGTTTTTTTCGAAAAATAAATTTATATAATAGGAAATATAAGACAAGAGTATATATAGGTTGCACACATAATAATAATAATAATAATAATAATAATAATAATAATAATAATAATAATAATAATAATAATAATAATAATAATAATAATAATAATAATAATAATAATAATAATAATAATAATAATAATAATAATAATAATAATAATAATAATAATAATAATAATAATAATAATAATAATAATAATAATAATAATAATAATAATAATAATAATAATAATAATAATAATAATAATAATCACATGCTAGTGTTTGCATGAATAAAACTTAGTATCTGCTGAACGGAGCTTGCTATATCTTCTGCCGTGAACCTTGTATCACTAGCCACCTGCACACACATTACAAAAATAAATAATATGATTAAATTTATAAATTATAATTAATTAATCTACTTAATTAATATACCTTGACATTGAATGAATAAAGAACGGTTTGTTCAATAGTGGTGATGTTGGTATGAAGAATAATAAGCTGCATATCTTCAAGGGCAGCAATGGTCTTGATCAACTGTCCAGGCCTTCTTCTCGATAGGATTTTAATCATTGCATCAAATCCTAAAACTTTTACTTCTACATCAGCCAAACATGACTTACTCTCTGCAGTTTCTTCTTCAAGTCCACTTTCCATCTCAACTATCTTCATCTGCTCATTTGGTAAAGGAGCTTGTTGAAAAAATGGAGCTTGTTGTTGTGTTGAATCCCCTACTTGTTTTGACTGTGCTTCTCCAACTAGTCTTCTTCTCTTTTGTGACTCTAGACACTGAAGAAGTTGTTCCAATTCCCTCACAAACTCTATAGCTCCACCAATTATAGATGCTTGATCACCCTATATTGTTAAATCAATCATCCTTACCCTTAAACGTACAAACCAGGCAATGTAAAGTTTTAGAAAAATCATTGTATGAAATGAATCTTACATACCCTTTGAACGTACGAACCAGGCATGAGAGATCTGAGGACACGAAGATGCTCATTCATTTGCTTCCTTCGATTCCTTTCAACAGCAATATGAGTCATGCGTTGACTCTCAACTTCTTCGCTTGTCTTAACAGTTCTAGGTCTCTTCCTCTTCTTGCTATTCTCTTGCACTAGTGCACAGTTCGTCTCTTGCACAAGCTGCACCGAGTTGTTCTCATCGGAAACCCGAGTTTCTTCATGATCTCTTAAATTGTCTGCCACTTTGAATCTATCTTCATTTTCTCCTACCCCATCTTGATGCAACATCAAGTTTTGGTCTTCCATCTTGTTGTTTAAGACGGGAAACTTGAGAAAATAAACCGGGTCGTCGTCGATCTCGGACTCTTGGCGGTTTAAGGCTAGTTTAGGTCCAAAATCTGCAAACTGCATCACATCTGCAAAGCTCATTTTATCAAAAGAGTTGTTTGTTGTACCATAAAAGCCTCCTGAGTTTTGTGTTTGAGGCAGGTAATTATCCTCCATTCCGTTATTGTTTTCACCGGAAGTTTCGCCGACACGATATTTCGTGAACTGCTGGTATTGTTGATCCAGGGAGTAGTCAAGCGTGTTGAAACATGGTGGCATGGGTGGTGCCTGTAGAGATTCAAAATTGGAGCAATACAACATGGTGATATACGAAGTTATGGTGTATACGATGATATGAAAATATATAACATATATAAAAAGGCATGGTAGTAAGAGAGAGAATATGTTTGTACGGAATAGTTATTATCTTTCTCCATTATGAACAAGTTGACTTTAATGGAACGAAACCCTAAAACAAGCTCAGTTGATGCCCCACCAGAGTTTCTTGAGGGCCCTCACCTGAGCATAGGATATAATTCACATATGTTAAAATCACTTAAAGATATAGATAAAACATGTAAATATAATAAGAATTAAGAAACCTGTTTGGAAGCGGACAAAGATGAAAGAAAGTAAAGTGTAGAAGAAGTAGAAGAGAATCATGAAACCCTACAATATTAGACCGGAAGAAGAAGACAATGTAAATGGGTGTTTTTATCGAAGATGATGATTTTTATATAGTGTGTGTGGGAGCTGGGTATGAGATGGTGGTCACAGAAAATGACACCGAGAGAGCCGAAAGATGATTGATTAAATATCCACCTCACACTTTTATTAATTTTTGTCACAGGCTACCAACGCTCTTTTTCTTACTTTACCGCCTTCTTTCATGAATCATGTGTTTTACGCTCAACATTTTGACGCACTAATTAATTTCTTATATCTATCTAAACTTTTCAATCTTTCTTTTTCAATTAATGTCACATTCATCTATGTTTTACGCTCAACATTTTGACGCACTAATTAATTTTTTATATCTAAACTTTTCAATCTTTCTTTTTCAATTAATCTCACATTCATCTATCTTCTAACATAGTATCTATACCTTCCGTGTATGTTTGTCTTAAAATGTTCAAGAGTCTCATTTTGTATGGATAATAATGTATTAATAATACAATTAATATTTGATATATTCAAAAAGAAAATAGGTGATGCACTCTAAGTGAACGTGTAAATTCTCAACTAACCAATCATGATTATGTATTCGGTCACATTACACTTAAATATTCTTTTAATTATATAATAGATTATTTAATTTTTATTAGATAATATTGTAAAACAATTTTATATTCATGAGAGAGAGAAAGAGAGAGACAGAGATTCTCAATCGGCCTCAATATAGTACATTTACCCTCAATTTAAATTTGAATTGAAATATTTGCAGTTAAACTTATTTAATAAAAACTTATATACAAAGAGATGGAGAACTCCAACCCTAAAAAAAATTATTGTTTGTTTTTTACTTATTGAAATATTTTGAGATTTTGAGTCTCTTTAACAAATTTTGAGATTTTTTTAACTTATTCACAAATTTTGAGTCTTCTGAATCTTAAAGATTTGGTTTGAAAATTTATGGGTTTTCTTAGACATTTTTCTAGTTATATAAAATTACCATGATGATTTATTTATTTTTTAAACTTATTTCAATTAGATTAGAAATACAAAGGTGATTTTATCTTTTGTTATGGGTGTTTACTGATATTTTATCACTTTTAAATTATTTCAAGTTTATAAAAATTTTATTTTAAAAAAACCTAATTAATTAATGCCATAATTTCACTTTTTTAATATTTAGTACAAGTTTAATTTTCATCAAATTAATTTTTAATTAGTGAGTAGTTATTTAAAAAGAATATTAGATTTTAATTTTTTTAACTTAAAAAAATAATTATTATATCTTATTTTTCTAATGGAAAATTAAAAATTAAACGATATCTAGAATAAAAAATTTGGTTGTTATATTATAACTCGTCATTCTCTTTCTTTCAACTCATGTAACTTTAAGACTCTCGCTCTCATTTTTGTAGATCACTTAACATAATAACATTGTTGAAAGTTGCCTTAACAAATGTAATATCTCATCTTAAGTCACGAAAATTTGTTGTCGAGCATATAAAAATTTCTAAATTTGTTTTTATTATAATAGCTCACAATATATTTGTTATTTTTTATAACGTAAAACAAGACATTACAATCACTCATTCAATTAAGGTGATCTTTAACAATGAATGTTAGTGTATAGTGACAATGAAGAAGACGAGGCGTGATTTCTAGAGTTACTCAATCATGGAGAAAGAGAATAAATATTCCACATATTTTTATTTAGCTTTGTTAGATTGAGTATATATATATATATATATATATATATATATATATATATATATATATATATATATATATATATATATATATATATATATATATATATATATATATATATATATATATATATATATATATATATATATATATATATATATATATATATATATATATATATATATATATATATATATATATATATATATATATATATATATATATATATATATATATATATATATATATATATATATATATATATATATATATATATATTTGTCTTTTGAATAAATATAATATTTGTATCTGTCATGCAAATACTTATTAGACGGATTATTCAAGGGTTTTAAAGTATCCATAGATACTTACATGTATTATATATATATATATATATATATATATATATATATATATATATATATATATATATATATATATATATATATATATATATATATATATATATATATATATATATATATATATATATATATATATATATATATATATATATATATATATATATATATATATATATATATATATATATATATATATATATATATATATATATATATATATATATATATATATATATATATATATATATATATATATATATATATATATATATATATATATATATTCAATTTTTTTTAAAAACATAAAAATTATTATTATATAGCATTCTTATAAATTGTTCTCAATTTAACAATAAAATTTCATCACATTATTTTTCTTTTTTAGACCAAAACATGATAACATTCAAAAATAATATCCATACATTTCATTTTTAACCATAACAAATAAAAGATATTGTGACAGTGAGTTATGTCGGAAGAGCGAACCACAGACGAAAAGGAAGGAAGGCATTTATTGAATATAGGAAGTGCGATATTGGTTAGATGGATAGTTGAATTGTTGAATTGAGGTCTGAAGTATTGAAAAAACTTAAATATGAAATGACTAAATACGATTTGTATTTAATGTGAAAGGTTTTCTTTTTATATATATATATATATATATATATATATATATATATATATATATATATATATATATATATATATATATATATATATATATATATATATATATATATATATATATATATATATATATATATATATATATATATATATATATATATATATATATATATATATATATATATATATATATATATATATATATATATATATATATATATATATATATATATATATATATATATATATATATATATATATATATATATATGATGGGGATCAACTTACTCCAAGAATAAGTTTTTTTAACTTACTCCAAATCATAGCATTTGAATTGAATATAATCTAATGATTAATTAAGTAAAAGACTAATCTAACCATTAGATTAGATGCAATTCAAAGGTTATGATTTAGAGTAATTTAAAAAAACTTACTCTTGGAATAAGTTGATCCTTTTAGAACAGAAAAAGATTGAGTATAATAAACTAATTATATTTAAATAATTTTCATAATTTATTAACGGATACGGATATTCGTGGGCACGAGTATCATTAAACCAACAAACGGTTATTTAAATATCCATTTATTTTATCTGTGAATATCCATTAAGTTATTCGTCTCGTATCCATGATTGATTTTATCCATGGATACCCGCAGGTACAAATTTTTTGTCTTCCCTAATCGGGTATTCATAGTAGTGAAAACTTTTAAATTCAATTTACACTATGCCAAAAAAGACCTTTAGCAGCGCTTTAAAGCGCTGCCAAAAGTGGCGCTGCTAAAGGTAAAGGCAGCGCTTTTTTTCATGGAAAAAAGCGCTGCTAAAGGCTCCCTTCAGCAGCACCTTTAGCAGCGCTTTTATAAACGCTGCATATTTCCCCCAACCATCCCCCCCTTTAGCAGCGCTTTCACAAAGCGCTGTCTTAGACCCCACCTTTAGCAGCGCTTTTACAAAGCGCTGCCATAGCCCCCCCCTTTAGCAGCGCTTTTTACAAGCGCTGTCTTAGACCCCCCCTTCCAAACCTATAGCAGCGCTTTTGTAACGTAATGTTTGTGACCTTTAGCAGCGCTTTTTTGTAAAAGCGCTGTCTAATGTCCCAGATTTTAAATTTTTTTTTTAAAATATTCACCCTGTTTTGTATATTTACCAGCAACCTGCTTATATTACACAAACCTGCTTATAATTCAGGCCTTTATTTCAACACTTTGGCCTTATATATACAATTCAAAACTTTGGCCTTAAATATACAATTCAAAACTTTGGCCTTATATATACAATTCAAAACTTTGGATACATTGTAACTCATCACTTTGTTCATAAACATTTTAATATACACATAAACCTGTTTAAATATGTTACAACAAAATTCGATCCTCAGAATTACAACAACACAAATACATTCAATTTACATATAATTACAATTCTTCCAATCCGATAACTTTATACAATTCTCAACCCAAGAATAAATTGACACCATTCCTCTTTAATTTCTTCCAATTTTGCTTTCGTGTAAGTAGCACACTTGAATTCATTAAAATACTACATAATATAATAGATCGAATAAGATTTAATTTTAAAACTAATTACTCAGATGAAGTATCAGATAATTATCAAAATGAATCATATAACTTATATAATGAATTGATCCATACCATGACTGGAATCTCAAGTTGACCAGAAAGAATAATTTCCCTCATAAAGCGCAATACAAAATATCCATAGTCAATACCATTGTGCTGCCGAGGACACTGTAAATGAAAAAAACAAACGAACATTTATCAGGATATATAGTTTAAATAGTTTTATCAAGTAGAACCACTATAACAGTCAAACATGCGAAAATATACCTCCACTCTGATCCAGTTGATGTTGTTAGCCTTGCTTTTTGGCACCGTTGCATCTCTTTGTGCTCTGAATATTTGTATAACTCTAACATAATATAAACGCATATTTAGAACAATGTCACATAATAAATAAAGATATATAATTAAAGACAATAGTATATCTCATCACTTACGTATCAACAAAGTTCCTCAAATTTTCATATTTTGTTGTATCGCCATCC